CAAAAGTATATTTCCAGCATAAAACTCCAGTTTTACTGGTTTTTACTTGATTTTTTCCCTTCCCCAAGTCCCTCTTGCTGTTTATTTCTCATGATTCAGTTTTCTTTCCTTTCTTTTCTCGCCCTCAGCTACTTTTCCACTACTGGGGAATTCTCAGAAACATGACTCTGCCAGATTTCACCTTTATTCTTAGAAATAAGAGCACAAGGACATTTACTTGGAAGGAAAAAGTCATCTCTGAAGAATTACATGGGCATTGAACATAGAATAAATTAGAAGAGGGCAAATCATAGGGCAGAAGGCCAGAATTCATGGGGGACATTTAATTAGTTCAGTGGCATTTAGCATGTAAATGAGGTTATTTTGGCAAGATGAGTGCTTTTGTGAAATATGCAACTGATCAGTCAGGGGTGCTGAGGAGCAAGCACTTGGAAATACCGGCTCCTCCTGGGTGAAAATAGTGTGCCACCTTCATGGCTGATGGTGGTGGTAACTTTCCAACAGCCCTTGGAGGGGTATACATCGTGGTTTTAAGATGTTTTATAACAAATGGGCAGCTTTCATGGGAAAACTTCAGAGCCAGAAAAACAAATTGCTGTAGCTCTCTTGAAGGGCACTGTGATGACTCAGTTGGAGGTTCTGTGGTGCTTTGATGTCTGTTCTGCCATGCAAACCTCAGAGCTCTCTGTCTCTGTCCTGCAGCACCAGTGTGGGCAGAGCAACAGCAGGCACTCACAGCTGTCCTCAGCCAGCCTGGCTGCATGCTGGCTTCTTTCCTCATCCCTGCTGCACTCCACCTGCATCTCTGCTCCTGACGGACTCCTGGCTGGTCTGCCAAATGATTGCTACACTAGATAAACCTCTCCGGCTCTGAACAACCTGATATAGGTGAAGATGTCCCTGCTTGTTGCAAGGGGGTTGAACTAGATGACTTTTTAAAGTCCCTTCCAACACAAACTATTTAATGATTTTATGAAAGGGACACATCTGAGAGAGACAGACCTTCAGTGGGCCTTTCCAAATGGGTTTCATAGCATACAATTAATATTTCAGTGCTTTTCATGGAAAAGTAAGGGCAAAACCTTTTGTTCCTGAACTTGCTTTACTCCTGGACTATTGCCATTTTCCTGCAGCTGAAGGGTACTACAGTGGTAGAAAGATCATGATTAATTTGGTAATCCAGGGGGGGAAATTAGTGGCCACTAATGAGTGGGTGCAGCATGGGAATGTGCTGTGAATTAACAGCCAAGGAAACAACCTGAAGGCAATGGCTCTATTCAATGACAGGCAATAAAATACTTGGGGAGGGGCATGTTAATTGTTAGCTAATAATGTGATCCATGTTGCAGTTAGCTGGGTTTTATCTCTCTGGTACACCCTGTTTGCAGATGCTGAGGGATTCAAAGCAGTGTGTGTTGCAGCTGGCAATGGCCCTGCTTCCAAGCAGGTTATTCATGGGGCCAGTAGTGCAAGAAGTTTTCAGGATCTGCAGCCCTCTTCCAGCTGTGTTTGCATTAGACATGCTAGTCAATGGATTCACTGAATGTCAGCTCGTGTTAATTTAAACATCTGTTTCAGGAACCCTCTATAGCCCAACATTTATTTGGAGATCAGCTGAGAAAATATTTTAATACCACAGAACATGTTGCATCAAGAGGCTACAACATCACCTATTTCTTTAAGAGTGTGGGCTTAGACAACACATTCAAAATGCCTTTAGGGGGTCTAAAAACAGTTACCCTCCAGACGGTATGGTTTTAAAGACATTTTCTTCAGGTCTTCCAGGACTCAGACTGAGCCCTGGGTGATACCATGCATGTAGGCATTGCCCTTTGCTGTTGCTTCTAGGAGCAGCCCAGAGATTTAGCAGAATTTGTTCATTTGAAGAAAGGTAAAACTTTCACATTGGGAACTAAGTTACAGGATGAGGTTGATCTTGGCTCTTTAAGAGTGGCTTTTTTTTGAAAGGGCTGTTTGGTGACTCAGCTGCAGGTTACTGGGAAGTTGCAGGCATCCGTTGGAGGAAGAGGAGTGGCTGTGTCAGAAGAAAGGGAGGTACTGGCAGAATAAAATGTGTTGTAAAGTGTTAACATTTGTTTAACGTATGTGGGCAGACAACTTCACATGCCCCACCAGAATTTACCTTGCTGATGCTGTTTCCATATTGTTTCCCTCTAAGTGTGATCAGTCAGCCAGTATGTGACATTAATTACCTGCATGTCTCATTGTGCAACCTGACATAAAATTGAATTATGGGGTAACATGTCAATAACTGTTTATTGAAATATAGAAGTAATCTCCTTGTTTTCTGAAATATTATTGAGTTTTCTTGTTCATGCTATATCTACCCAAATCCTGTTATTGTCCTAAAGTAACATTTTTCTA